GTGCCCGCGCCGAGCTCCGGGGCCGCTGCCGGACGGGCTCGCGGCACCGGCCCACCCTTGCCTTCCAGAGCGACCTCTCAGCCAGCGCTCCTGCCTCCAAGTCGGCCGGTTCCTCCTCTCCCCGGGACACGCTCACGCCCGGCCCCGGGCCCAGCTCAGCCTCCCATCTCCGGCCACCTCCTGCCAAGCCACCTGCCACAGACACCATCAGTGAGTTTCTGGGGGCAGCGGTGATGGAGGGGAGGAATTTCCTCCCCTCTCCTGCAGCTGTTGCTCTGCAGCTGGTTAGGCTGGGGCAAGAGGGATGGCAGGACACTTCCACCCATATCAGTGCAGGGAGCAGTTTTGCTCCGTAGAAGCAGGTGTGTTGACCACAGCAAACGTGTGAAGCTGTCGTGTAACTGCACGTTTCAGCTCTCTAAATGTTGCAGCCTTTGTGCTGTTCTCAGACCCACCAGGCGTTTTGTGTGGATGTAGGAACTCTTGGCCGCAGGAATTCAGAGGGGCAGATGTTTTGTCTGGATGTCATTGTTCTTCTCTGACGAGTTGTCGCTGTGTTGCTGTGTGAAGCTGCAGGGGTCGGGAAGGATGGCCCTGTGCCTCCATTAGCACGCAAGGATGCAGGAGGCCAAGGCTCGGTCCTTGGTCGGTCTCCCTATGTCTTGCGTGTGCTTGGTGTTACAAAGATCCCAGTGAGATCCAGGTGACCCAGGAATCGGTGTGAATGGCTGCATCATTCTGAAAGCATCAGGGAGGGTGGTGAGAGCTAAAGCAGTGGCCTCTGTGGTGGCTAATCTTGGGCTGGTCACACCTCTGTTCTCAGCCTCAGTTTCCTGAGGAACCTTGGGGAAGGCAGGTGGGGACAGCTCTCAGGAACAGCTTGGCCATGACCACAAGGTGAGGGGAGAAGGACAGATAGCACAAGGGAGAAATAGAGCCAGAACTGGAGATGCTAAGCCCCTGTCTGGGCTAGAAAATTACAGAGGTTTAGCAAAAATTGAATTGGAATTGATTTCAATAAACCAGCAAAGCCCTGGAGGTAAAGCCACTTAGCCATCAACCGCAGGTAATTCAGCCTGGCCAAGATTGAGAAGGGCTTGGCAGGGGAGGTGAGGGTTGTTGTGGGTTAGTGGCTGGTTGGTCCATGGTGCATCCTTTGGAGGGGGACGGAGCCGTTTCTTCCCGCGTGCCTGGGTCCGCGTCCCCTGTCCAGGATTGAGGGGCCTGGGGGCTGCCCCTCCCCTGGGGTTTGTACAGCCCCACGCACCACCCACGTCTTGGCTGTAAGCTGCCTGCCCTCCTCCTTATCCTCTGGCTTGTGCCAGCCTTGCCTGGGCCCTGTGTCGGGGGGACGCTGCCTCTCGCAGCCGCGGTTCGGTGCCAGTGCCCTTTTGCCCCGGTGAAGCTCTCGCACCCATCAGGGTCAATGAACAGCCTTTCCTTGCGCAGCTCTCCGCAGCCCGCTGAGCGTGTCCAGCCCCTACACGTCCTCCTTCGGGATGGTGCCTCATGCCACCCTCAACGGCGAGCTCACGGCCCCCAGCATGTATATGGGCATCCACCTCTCCCCACAAGTCAGCAGCACTGTGATGTACGGCCGGTCCCCGATGGTGAGTCGCTGGCCCAGGCCGCTGGCGCGTGCCGTCTCTGCTGCCTGCCCCGTGCTGCCCAGGGTGTGATAGTTGCATTACTGCAGTGAGCTCGATTGAATCCATAGGGAAGGGCTCCCTTCTGGAGGCAGCCTGGATTTGGGGGGCAAGTGGAGGCAGCAGAGCTCTCTGAGAAGCCCCCAGAGGTTCCCATCAGTGTGAAGCTGTTTCTTTGGCTGGGAGCCCCTTTTGGCCGTTGTCACTTGAACGTGGGAGGAAGCAGCAAGCAGGAATCTTCCCCAAAGCAGTTCTAACCCTGTCCTGGGGTATGTGGGAGAAAAGGCACGTGCCTGCCTTCATGTCCCCTCTTGGGGATCTTGGCGTTTCATGCATCAGGCTCCCTTTGCTTTGTGCAGGTGGCCTTCGAGTCTCACCCTCACCTGAGGGCTTCCTCACTCTCTTCTTCACTCTCCACCATCCCTGGAGGGAAACCGTAAGTGTGGCCAAACTTGCAGGCTGCAGGGAGGGTGGGTGAATGGCCAAGCGGGCCAGCATGTGCCAGGCGCAGGGAGGGTCTCCTCCCCCCATGGCCCCTTTTTGCAGCCTGTGGGACATGGGGAGGCCTGGCTGGAGTTTATCTCCAGCTCGGAGTCCAGCTTTGTCCTTTCATAGCTGGGCTTCAGTTGCTGGCATTTGGTGATCACAAGGAAACAGCTGATCGCATCCCTCATTAGTGAGACTGCCCCAAAGACCCTCCACCTGGCTCTAGGCTGGTTAATGGGAGAAGTTGGCTCCTCCATGCAGGGAGTTCTCAGTCCTCTTGTCTCCTTCCTTTCCAGCGCCTACTCCTTCCACGTCAGCGCCGACGGGCAGATGCAGCCGGTGCCCTTCCCGCCCGACGCCCTCATCGGCTCCCGCATACCCCGCCACGCGCCGCAGCTCCCCA